GGGTGTGGGGAGGGGCCGTGATTGGCAGGTGCATGTGAGGGGCTTTGGCAGGTGCGTGTAGGTGGGGCTGTGTCTGGCAGGGCTGTGCGGGGGGATGTGATTGGAGGGCTGTATGCACTGGGGGTGTTTGATTGGCAGGGGTGTGTGGGGGGCAATTTGGTTGGCAGGGGCACGGGGGGGAGCTGGCAAGCCTGGAGCGAGGTGGCCACAGGGACAGCAGCTAAGGGAGTTTGCAGGAAAGCCCCGAGCCAAGGGGCCAGCAGCGGGCGCTGGGGTGGAGGAGCTGAGCCACAGGTGCCCCTGGCCTAGGGGTCCTGGCGCCAGTTGTCTCCTGGCGCTGCCTCAGGGCACATGCAGGTGCCACCCACCACGCTTTGCCTCCTTGGCGCTAAGGGAGCGCTGGCAGAAAGGCCCTGAGGGTACTGGAGCTGCAGGGAGAGGACCGGAGCCCTGGGAGGAGGGCAGATGTCTAAGGGCTCAGCTTGGACCAAAGGGGGCAAACCAAGCAACCCCCATCCTGCCGCAGTCTGGGAGAGCCCTGCCTGGCACACGTGGGCTGGTTTACCGAGGGGGAAGCTACGCCGCCGGGTGCTGACATGGTGCTCCCCCACTGACAGGTGCAGCTGCCTTGGCGTTATTTCTGCTTACGGCCTCCCACGGGCTCAACGTTAATGATACCCTCTCAATTTGCCCTCTCTAGTCCTGCCTTTTTTCTTCCTTGGGCCACGTTAAAAGTCCACGTCCACAAGTTCTCTGGGGTGAAAGGAAACTACTGACCCACAATGGATAGACCCATGTTTGTGCTCCATGCTCTGGGCCTTGTAAATCCTGCATGCAGCCTTTGGGCAGGGGCTGAGGCAGACCCCCCCCCCAGGGGCTCGGAGTCTGGCTCGTTAGACACGCCGCCATCGTTAGCGAGCGTGAGAGGCCATTATTTCTGTTTTATGGCTCGTGTGACTTTATGAGCAATGCTTTGCAAGTTATTGATAAGGCAGCTCATTTAAAAATACTTTGTGTTAAAGATTTCAGTTACCAGCTGAAATACCCTCTATCAGTTCCTCTGTTGCGATAACCAAGGCCCAACATTGCACCAAACAACTCTGGAAATTTCACAAGGGAAGGAAGCCTGTCCAAATCCCCCCCTCCCCAGGAGATATGCACCCCCTACCCAGCAGTTTGCTTTCTTCAAACACAGGCATCATCCTAATTTTTATGTGCAGATATAATACTGTTGAAGAGGGCAGGCTTGACAGCCTGGTAAGCTGAAGTCTCCTGTTGATCCACAAAACAGTGACAGCACAAGCCATAGCAGCAATGCAGGCTTCCCACATACCCGCCTCCGCCAAAGCTCCTTAATTTAAAAGGCTGCAGAGAGGGTGAGGAGTTGCTTTGGGAGGCTGTCACCATATCATTTCCTTAATCATACTATAAAAGTTCCATAAAACACCCTGTAAATTAATCCATGTCCTGACATTTATAAAAACTTGGAGACACATTTTTCTGTTGATGTTTACAAGTATGGGAGAGACTGATTGCAAGTCACTGGAGGGCAAATTTTCACCTGTGCACATGCATTTTTACCACACAGGCGAAGTTCCTTTGTTTTTTTAAATCACAAAACGGTAACCTGGCCAGCCAGGAGAGAGACATGTCCTTTTTGACAAAAGCAGGAATAAATCTGCAGACTGGATTTAACCCCACATATTGGAAAAACCTGAAGACCTCCATTTCTGGTCTCTTTCCAATTGTATTTGTGCCCAAAACAGAAAATTGACTGAATGTAGCTTTGAGATCTGCCATGTGAGATTTTGAAATGGAGGGTGAGAAGGTAGAAACAGTCAACTGGGAAACACAGGTGTGGGCAGGGGAGAAGGGAGGAGACTTGAGATGGAAGATGAGCTGAGAACAGGAAAAAGGGAACCAATGAGTTTTATGGGCTGCTACTGGAGACTGAAAGGTTATTATAATAAAAGCAGGGTTGTGAGCTTCGTGGACCAAGGGTTCATGCCTTTTAGCTGGGGAGAGCTGAGCTCTCACTGTCAGATGCTCCTATTGAAATAAAGGGACTGTGTTCTCCAGCAGGAAACTAGAGGTGAATTCCCATTAACTCCTATGGAAGTTACTTATGTACTGTGTTGGTGGAAATAGGGTCCTTGTTGGGGAACAGCACGTGATGAAGATTGCATAAAGCCTCTCTGCCTGGTGTCCATTGCAATATTCCATTTCTTTGTAAACAGGGACTTATTTAGAGAAAAGCGCTGGGAACTGAGCTGGGACTGGGGAGCAGGGACTGAAGTCCGCGAGCTGCCGCAGGGAAGTTGAACGCCCAGGAGATGCATGAGCACCACTATCAGAGAGCTAGGAAGTACATAGGAGCTGTCGCAGCAGACAGATATGTTCTGAGCTGAGCTCTGACGGCTGGGAGCTGATCCAGCAGCACACGTGGGAATTGAGACATGAGAGGTAGGTGATGGATACCAGGAGTTAAGGGCTGAGATCTGAAAGCTGGGAGTGGCCCAGCTGTTCAGCTCACTATCCTTGCTGTACTACACTTGCTTGCCTTGTGACCATAGTAGGAAGACATAGGCTGGGCTGTGCATGTGGGAGTTCACTTTTCTTGTCAGCAACAGGGTGTGCGGTAGGTAGGAATGCATTTTACCTGAGATTTTCCCAAGCTGCCCAGAAGATCCGGCCTCTCAGCTCTCATTAGAAATCAATGGGGAATTGTACACTGCAAGTTCCAGCATGGACTTCAAAATCTTACCATAAAAGCCTGTGTTACACAGTTCCTCCAGAGCTGCTCAGAGCAACTAGAAGTTAAAATACCAGTGAATTTTGAACAATGAGTGGCCCTTTAAAAATCACTGCAGGATCTCAATGCAAAACATCACTGACTTGAATTATATACAAAAAAAAGGCAGGATATTTAACATTTCAAAGCTGCTAATACATCTAAAACTGGTTAGAAAAGAGGCTACATGTTAATAGTAATATCATTATGAATTATTGTATATAATGACTTCCAAAGTGGTTAGCAATATTAATGAGATGAGCATTATATCTGCATAGCGTGGAAGGAATGTATTATTTATTCCCCTTTCAGAGAGGTCAAGTAACTAACCCATCATCACAAAAGAAGCCCATGAAGTGAATTCTAGATCAGGCTTCTTAAGTCAATGGACACATTACCATTGTAGACTTCAAGGTGCTTGGAATTAAACTGTACCAAATTGTGGCAGAGGTCCTAGATCTGCCTCCTAGGGCTGGACATTAACGTCTCTCTGTAGAGGGACATTTTCATTGTTCCTCTCCAGAGGGTGTGAAATCTGGAGCAAGGTGCTCTATCAGAAGTGAATTGCATTTAAAACACTGAGTAAGATCATCTGGAACAAATAGCAGCCTCAACTGTTTTTCATGGTGCTTATTATATTACAAACATTTTTGTGGCAAATACACATTTTGCTCTATTTCTAAAAGAAAAGTTTGCAGGCTCTCATCAGAGATTTCCACAAACCATGATATACTTGTATCTTCAGGAGAGATACTCAACAGATAATTAAAATGCAATTCTACTCTGAAAAGTGACTTGCTAAAAATGGTACTGGGGGAGGGTACCTCGTGCATTGTCTTGTACTGACACCACATCAGATCTGCTTGGTTCACAAATGAAAAGATACTTTTTTAATTGCCTGCCCTTCCCTGCAAACATACCATGGGATTTTAAACCAAATGTAGGCTCTTTCTGCTTCATATATTGTTACCAGTAATAAAAATACTGGAAGTGGGATTTAGTTAACCAGTTCAGCTGGTTATGTATGGGGGTGTCTGCACATGCATTTAAGCACACCTAAATTTAATGTGTATTAGCTTAATGCGCATTAAGCAGGTTTAGGTAGGTGTCTACATGTGCAGGTGTTAAAGCACATAAATGGTGTGTGTGTTGACCGCCTTGGGACTAAGGTTAGTGCTTTAAATATTTGCACCTACATTTGATACCTGCACTTGCAGGTATCAAATTTAGGCACAAATACCCTAAATCTGACATTTTTAATGTGCATTAAGGGTGTGCACATATAGACACGCACCCTAATTGTGCATTAACTTAGGTTAATGTGCATTGAAGTGCCCTGTGTAGAAACGCCCTATGAGACAAAATAAAGTCCAGCTCAGTCCCCCATAGCTGGGTGTTCACATTTAGATACGGGCTCAGTGGCAACATTTGGATTCAGATCTGGATTTTAAACACTCCTGTTCCCTGAAGCATTTGGCTCTTTACCATTTTGTTTCAGGCCCAACTTCATCTTTTATCAACGAACAGAGGAGATACAATTTGAAAACCCACTGAGAGCTAGTCTGTTGACAACAAAGATACCATATTCTACATACGACTCTAAAGTCTTTGCTATATGTTTGTACCAAGTCTACTGTTATGAAGCCTCTACTCACTACTGGAGCTACTGGACTATAAATAATAGTATATATTGCCTTTCTGAAGATAACTGCTCTTCAAAGAGTTTTGTCGCTGGCTCAGAGCACTGTGGATTTTAATTATGGATGTGAAGGGGGGAAGAAGACTGCAGATAAATCAATATGTCTGGAATATGGCAGCTGCTGAGCTTTGATCCCCTGTAGAGTCAGTTATCTTATTATTTTTCCTGTAAGACTTTTTTAAAATCTATAAATAGTATATTCATAAAGTTACAAGACATTTTGAAAAATGCAATACATCATCTACAAACAAG